AAAACTGCATAGCTGAGGGTTGTACAAGCTGAACTGAAACGGAGCGTTTGATTCTGAATTGTTATTGAGTCGTATTGTATAACTAGAGAATGAAAAACATGGAAAATACACCACGATTGAGTTCAAGCGCATGACCGAATGTCACGACGCGTGCATCACTAATGATACCTCGCCTGGCTACAAAACGTCTACGAACAACACTTCCAGCTCAAAGAACACACCAACAGACGTGTTCCTCTTTTGATTTACTGCACTCATCACTGTATCGCAGCATGCATCCACTGAACAGATTACTCACCAAGTGGCTCACACCAAAGGGATCTTTCTATAGTAATCAATGGGCGGTGGTGGCCAAGTGATGTCAGGTCACCAACTTGTGACATGGAAGTCCTGGGTTTGAACCGCTCCACCGCCGTCCGTCTTCGCTAATTCTGTACTTTCTTAGGCAGCCTTTGTATGGCCGCGACCCCCTTCCTGAAAGTTGACTGTGTGTTCGATAAACAGAAAAGGAAGTAAAAAAAATCAAATCAAACTGTAGTTTCTGAAGAGTATTTGGTCTCCAAATTCACCGGATTTTAGTATCTTGAGCGTGAGTAATACAACTAATTTGTTGAAGTCCTTTTGATGTGACTGATTCTACTCCTAGAACTTGCATCAGTCATATATCTAGAACTTGCCAGAACTGATTTGAAATCTGTCAGGAGAAGCCCAACCATATCCTGAGAATTCGCACGGTATAAATCAGAACCGGATTGGGATCAGTCGAGACCATCTGAACGTGTCGGCATTTTCTCAATGACACTGGATACGTGGGCGTCAGAGTAAAAGTACAGAGCACGGAGATCTGATTTCTAGCATGTCCTCCATCGCTACCCACGTAACAGCCCCCCCCCCATTCCGGACAAATGTCTATACCTTTTGCAAGTCAAGTTGTTCCAGTATCAAATCAAGGTGTCCAGGGCTGATTTCAGCTGCTCCCGGATTATTTTAAGCTGTCCTGCGATTATTTCAAGCTATCGCTTTGACCTCACCGGTGCTGACAAGCCTCCCAGCGATGTCTGGATGACTACCATGCAACTCCGATTTCTCTACCTCTATAGACAGTGAGCAACCCCATAAACACCACATGTTTTATTCCTTACTCGACCACGACCAGGAACACATTTGGGCTGGTGATACCAAATAAAGGCTCGCACATTTTTCCAACTGTCTTTTCACTGAAATCGTTGGGATACGCATCGTTAGACTAGGTTTAGTGATGATTCGGCAAAACACAATAAAATCAAAATAACCCTCAGCGAACTCCCTTCACAAATTCTATTAAGAACTCTGTCGTTCAAGCGGTTTCCCGCCTATCAGACCAGGCTTACTCCACTATCTGGTATCAGGAATGAATGAACCTCCAGGTTAGACAGAAAGAACATCAGAGGGGAACAGGGGTGAGTTGAGACAACTGTATCGGTTTAACCCCTGAGCGTTTTTGACTTGAGGCGACATGAANNNAAAAAAACAATCTTCACTGTTGCGCACTTTCAATCCAAGCAATTAATACTCTCTGCTGACATCTTCTCAGTGGTATTGATCTGAAGAGTATACGTATCACCGACATAAAATTCTTTACTCCTGCCAGAGTTAATTCAACCTTGAGAAAGCTATAATAATTACTATTAGAGAATCCAAATAGGCAGCAATACTCTAGGTAGTGATCGTTAGGCTTCAAACAGGTTTTGTTTTGGTTGGGGACATATAAAATTGATCCCGCAAAAGTCATAACGTACAAGTGCACTATCAGCATACCAGTCTGGGTGATAAATCGGTGCAAAATACTTGAATCGGTGAATATATTTTATAATATGTCAAATAACGTGTTAATGAATGAAATCCCTATTCCCAGAATCTCCAGAAGGTGAAAGTTCCAACAAGGAGATTGAAGTTGATCTGAATTTCAGGTTTAGCAAATTTATTTGAACTTGACAATTCTTTTTTAATTTTTATGGTTTCAGTATTCAGAATTTTTCGTAATGAGCATTGACTGAGCTACTTGTAGAGCAAAAATGGCTTGTAATACGACGCGCACCTATATTATACCATTATGATCAACATGCATTGATGAGAAGAATGACCCCTTGTTTGACTACCCCAACTACCCAATTTTGAATGTTTGATTTTCATAGAACTGCAAACAGAACACAAACAATTGCAACTTCGCCTGACAGAAGCACAACAGAAGTTGGTCTCCACCCGACGTACGTCACCTCCCAGTAGTGGAGATCAGCATAAATCAAGCAGTTCGGCTCCCGATCGATCTGCGACCGGAAATCACTCTGACGGATTGCAGTAAGTTGAACAGTTAACAGCCTGAATATTACATTATTTTCATGCACGCAATCATATAACTTATTCCTATTTTATGAAGATCATTGAACTGTGGTTTGTTTGGCATACTGCCTTGACTCAGACGTGTGAAATATATATATGGTGGTGACCAAGTGGTTAGGTCACCAAGTTAGGACCCGAAATTCCCAGGTTCGAATCGCTCCGCTCGTCTTCCCTATTTCTGTATTTCCCAAGACAGTCTTTGTATGGCCGCAGCTCCCTTCCTGAAAGTTGACTGTACAGTTGTATATCCAATGAATTAAAAAGAGGAAGTAAAAATGCATTTGTTATAAAGATATATATATATATATAAACGAATATGAAGATTGATTAAATTTTTGGGGGAAATATCATTGTAAATCTCTACACTCTGTGGCTCCTGCGGAAGAACTATTCTGAACAATTAATAAGAAGATATTCGTCAGTTATTTGGTCTGCCTTCCAATTGGGACCTCATTGGAATTAGCAAATCCATGATGCCAGTGTGAACAGGTATACTTGGCTTTTAGCATTTTTGACTTTATATGCATTTATTTACACAAATGATGCATTTGAATAGAGAAACTAGCTCTACAAGTTATCTTATGATGAAATTGCGGAATGAAATTAAATGTTTGTCAAGATAGTTAAAAGTTTCATTCATCTGCATTTATGGCTACTTTTGAAATATGGTTTTCAATTACCCTTTCCTCTAAAGGCATCTATAGATTCAGATAACACATGTTTAGCCCTGGAGTCCGTTGTTTCATCTTTTAGTTCCATCCACAACTTTGCGCTACGTCATTCGCTTTCCTTTTAATGACAAATTTCACAGAACGGAACTTCTCGGTCTACGGGGATTGCTAAACGAACGTGACACAACGATAGCAATGTTACGCGCCGATCTGGACGGAGCCAAGGCACAGTTGAGTGACTTACGGGGAGAGCTGAGCGAGGCACAAAAGGAGGAAATCGAATGTGCACTAGATTTCGGCAAGAAGGCTAACGCCGAGTTGTCAAGCACACGCGCTCGCCTCACCCAAGTGAACGACATGCTAACTGGATTGCGCCAAAAGCTAATGGATAAGGAAACAGAACTAAGGTGAGCAAGCAAGCAAGCAATGCTTCACTATTCTTTGTTGATTCAATCCCGGTGTTCGTTTTTTAGTCAGAAAAATGGAAGTTTTCTGTTTGGTATTTCGAATGACACTATCTTGTCAGGAATCAGTATTTTCACAACATTTGCAAGATTACCTGCTCGCAATTCATCCAAAAAATATAAAAGGAGCACACAACGCAGACGAACATATGTTTTCGGTGAATTCCTTTTCAAACCTTCACAATTGCCACAGAAGCTACTTAACTTTTAACAATTTCAACATAAGACTCAAATCTGTCAAACTACAATTTGAACAAATAGCCTTGGCTTAGCAAGTCATTTGGTGAACTCTGGTGGCTGCTAAGGGAAACTTGTCCTGGCAGCCAGCTTAAGTGTTACCTGGTGAATTCCATATACCTCTGTAAGTTCGATGGATGATTCGAAAGTGAAAAGATCAGTGCTGTCAGCGTGGCCTAGTATCTCGGCTGGTAGAACCTGTACTGTACAAACGCGTAAGCGACGTCCGTGTGTGATATCGTATACCACTGAGACTACTGAACTTTTCACAACTTCAACAGCAAATTTCAGTAGGATCAAATAGATGAGTAAATGAGTCTTGTATGTATTGTATTGTATTGTAATGACTCGTGCAGGCACTGTGTCTACATTTCAGTCGAGGAAAATGTGTTCACTGTTGCAATGGGATAACAGATAGAGGGGTGAATGAGTCTTGTGTGTAGTAGTGAGCCCGAGGGAATTAAAATCTATTCGATATTTGGATTACGTGACCAAAATTCAATATGTTACTTCATGGCCGTAGGAAGAAACGATTTCCTCTTCCAGTGTTCAGGGGCGTTTGAGAGCCCGGATCCATTTTCGGTAAGCGCACAGTTCGGGCTTTATGAGTCGGATGCTAATCGCGTCTGCGGTCACTAACGTCCGAAACTGTATTGTTCTCGAAACATGTGGTGATAAATGATTGTGAATGCCGAGCGCATGTCAACCAAGTGCTCCATCTCTAACCAATGAGCAACGATCGAGCTTGATACAGCTCCACTCCCACCCTGTGTGAGCCAACGTGGATTATGTTCTTATGTACGTTGAGATAACTGCCTTGCTCAACCCACATAATTCGCACCACAGGTGCACTTGAATTGATAGACAATTATAGATAAGGTCAACATAGACTACTTATCTTTTTGTGCTATCAGATGTTTGTTGGCATTGGAACTATGTTAACTGAGTGACCTTAAAGGTGGATTTCATTGTGGCGGATAAAACTTTACTGCACTATCTTCTGTATTAGAAACTCTCTCTAGAATCTGTAATGCCCAACTCCTATCACATTCATTCTCACCTGTTCGACTTTTCTTTTATTATGATCAAAGGAATATGAAAACAGTATTGAAACTACCTTTATTGGGTGGGGGTAGACAGTAAATGAAGATGGACAAGCATAACACAGATTCCCCTTCACAATTGGTAATCAGCAGATAAAACTAACTCCTCGTTTTCAGATAACAATAGTTATATGCATGTATATATACTGAATAGAATGGAATGTCGATTGATCGTTCACTTTGAATGAAGTTAGATTGAGTAATCCTTAAAACGCTCTTTTAAACGAAAGATTATAAAGGATCATGTTCTTAAAGTTTAACTGACCTTAGTGTGGATAAATTGGTAGCAATTTCCGATATCATCACCACGGGACCCGGATCATGATAGGATACACTCCCTTGGTCAACTCGAGGGTAAGGCAGTTGGAAAGCTTGGGTCACTTTTTTCGCGTACACTTAGCGATAAGTTCTTTAGTCTAATCGTTCAATCTCCCACTAACCCAAACGCACCGGAAAGGGTAGATAACCATAGAGGTGGCCAATGTATACAGCCTATCTTTGTGGCTAGTTCGGATGATGGGCGGGCCACAAAGATAGGTTGCCTACTCTGACCACTTCTATGGTTATCTTCTCGTTCCGCTGCGTTTGTAATACAACGTACATTGGCCGCACAGCGAGGCAAATATCCCAACGGATGAAGGAACACTGCTCACGCTGGTTGTAACACAGAGAGGAGCAGGAAGCATAGGAAGCGCCATTCTTCGTCATCTAGTGGATACAGGTCATCAAATTAGGGCAGAATCCGCTTTCAGCGTAATCTATCGTGTGCCCTCCAACCCCTCTAAAGCAGTGCGCTTACGCACACACTAGCCACTGCTGAGGCGATAGACAATCGCCTATTCATACCAGAACTATGTACACAAAAGCTCTCCACTTACCCTGGCCCCAAATTGATCATCAACATCACCAAAATTCCAATCACAATCAATCTCACCCGAACACAACATCTAGGGCTTATTCCACCCGTCCCCTCTCCCCATCCCAAATGACCTTTCGACTCAGTGTGAAAGTGTGTCCCCACTAAAAACAAACCCTTATATGATCTGTACAGGCATGATTATGAATCATTCGAAAACAATGGTTCGCCTTCGGACTTGCGTTACAATGGGATTATTCTGGAATACATATATAAAAAGTATTTCTAAGTGAATTGGAACAAACTAAAATCAACTTTGGTTTATCCACGTGCTCGTCTGTTCATGCTTGATCCAATGCGAGAGTCACCTGGTTCGGATAAACTGGCATCTTTTTCATTGGCTGGTGGCATACGATGTTATTTTATGCAATAAAATGTAAGTAAAGTCCTTTGGGATTTTACTGATTATAAAAATTTACTCATACATCTTTTTATGGTTTATCCCTATCTATTTAGAGGCTCTAAACGGGTTGGAACGACATATTTGATTGAACCATGCCGTTTGATCCCCAAACTAATTACTTCATTCTTTCGGCTATTTACTTCAACAACAAATAATTTGTGCGCCTTACTTTCCTCCTGTAGGAATCAATCGGTTCAACTGGACGAGTTACGCGCCACACTTGAACAGCGTGAGCAAACATCGAATCAACTGGCCCGTTTGCTGGACGAGGAGAGGGCGGCACGTGCTCGAGATGTGGATAAACTGAACAATACATCTAAACTGACAGAGGAATTGGCCTCGGTTGGTGCCGAGTGTCGCGGTGAACGTCATTTGGAAATCATCGCAAAACAGCGTGATGCCTTGAGTCAAATGCGCCAGAGACTACGAGAACATCCTTCATTTGGTAGGCACACCTGCATGCATTTATCAATTTAAAAACCCTCACTGAAATCATGGGAGTTCGATTATAGATCATGCATTGCCATCAGTAAATGGTAAAGTTTGAGACGTGTTAAGACAGTGCAGGTGAGATAATTATATGCGGAATGTCTATAAGATGTTTCTTCTAGTGATGAAAACGTTAAGATTTGTTACCCGGCTTACCCCGGGTTCTAAATTAATTATACGCCATATATATATAT